AGGAATGGGATTAGCCTGCAACTACTATCCTCATTGTCCTCAGCCGGAGCTCGCTCTGGGAATCACCCACCACACCGATATTGGGTTCATCACGGTTCTTTCCCAGGACCACGTCGGAGGTCTGCAAGTCGTTCATCGAGGTCACTGGGTTGATGTGCCTCCAGTGCCGGAGGCTTTAGTGGTCAACATTGGAGATATGCTTCAGGTACATGTTTGAATTTTGATTGAATCTTTTAATTTACCACAAAGAACAAGTACGAAACCACTATCGGACTCGAAAGTGGTCTCTAGCAAGTCATTTTGAGTGGTAGTCAATCAAAACTAGTCAAAATCCAAAAAAATCAGTGTTTGGGTCACTTTTTCTGATTTCCCGCCTCGACTACAAAATGTTGTTGTTTTGAAATGGAATGATCGAATGAGATGGGATTAGAGTTTTAGTGGGTTACATATATACTTAATGTAAAATTACTAAATGATATAGGTAAGGTAAATTTATTTCGGTCGTTAAATTTTTTGAATTACTATCTTTTTGTATATATAAAAAAGATATATAATCGGTTCAAACAGGTTGGACCCTGATCAATCCATTGAATCTCAAACTGCTTACTCAATGCCTTAAACCGATTTGACAACATTGGATATATCATTTCCAAGATTTAGATACACACTTTTATAGCATGATAACTTCTTTTTTTTTTTTTGCAGCTCATATCAAACGATAAGTTTAAAAGTGTGGAGCATAGAGTGATTGTGAACAGTGTTGAACCAAGAGTATCAACGGTTTGCTCTTTTGGTAACGGGTTTATGTTGAAATCAAGAATGTATGGACCTATAAAAGAGCTGTTATCGGAAGAAAATCCTCCAATATACCGAGAAATTTCCATCGAAGAATTCTTTTTCAAATCCTACAAAAAGGGCTTCGATGGTAACTCTTATCTGCCCCAACTTAAGCTTTGAGGTTCAATTGTCTCTTTTGAACAAGATCGATGACATAGTACAAGGGTTACTACTGCTTCTTTTTCATGGCATGCTTTGCAAGATTATCGTTTAATAAAAGATCGACAACTATGGCGATAATGAGATGCGCACTACTGTAACTGATGTTTATGCATGCATGCCTGTGTCGGATCTGTGATGGTTTTTGTTTTTAAAAAGAGAGTACTATGTGTGTTTGTTCATTGAGTCTTCTCATTGTTGTGCTTCCTCTTCCCTTGTCCCCAATCCTAAATCCTTCTTTCTGTAAACTCAATGGTCTGTGGATCAATGCGATTAAGTCGTTGATTTGGATCTGGTTTGTTGTGATTTACAAAATAAGATAAATTCTCAATATGTTTATTTTTTGGTCAAGACTAATTATTAGCCACACCTTTCCTGTATTTCTTTTATTAGTCAAATCGTTTAAATTACTAATAACTGGCCAAATGTCAACTTCCAGTTAGCAATTTTGTTAATAATATTGATCTGGCAACATGATACTGACTTGAAAGAGACACATGAAGGTCAACATTCCAAAACTTTAGTATTTTAACTAAGAAAAGAGTAAGTAAATTATTAACGGTAACAGAAAAATAGTTAATATTTTAATGCATTACAAAATATTTGGCTAATTATTAGTAATTCAATAGGTTTGGCTCATAGAAAAGAATGAAAAAAAAAAGTTTGGCTAATATGTTGTAAGTACCCTTTGGTTTTTAGCTAATTATACCACCTCTAACTACCACCCTCTATCACAATGGTAGGAGGGTGGTGAACACTGGTAGACGATGATAAATGATAGTTAGTATATTTTTATCACCATGTTATTGCTGCTAGGTTAATTTTCACTAACTTGCCAACAACAATAATTTTGTTTTTGTTTTTTGGCTTCCTTTTTTGGTCTTCCAATCTTCTAGCATTTAGTGAAGATCGATAAAAAGATACCTATAACTTTGGAACCCTTCGACGTTGAAATCAAATATTAGTAAACGTAAATATTAACTTTGGAGGAGATTAACCTACCAACCCGCCATGCACTTGAGTGAGAGGGGAATAGGCAAGATTCTAGACAAATCCAAGGATTTGCTGAAGTTGTATGGGATTCATCCTACCTCTTGATAGGATTTTTTGTGCCTCCTATGACTTGTTATGGATTTTTAGGGGCCCCCTAGCTCTCAGGAGATTTTTATAGGTCTAGCCTGTAGCTCGAGATATCTATGAAAATATCTCTTAATTGTCAAGGATTTCAATGGAGCTACATATTACCTCCCTCGCCAGAGGAACTTTGACATGCTTACTCCGTCGTAGATTACATTTGCTGCATTTCTTCTTCTTCTTCTTCATGATTTACAAAATTCTCGTGTAATAAAAGATCAAACACTATGACGATAATGAGATGCACACTACTATTGTAACTGATGCATATGTCTTGGTCGGATCTGTGCTGGTTTTCTGCTTTATAAAAGAGAGTACTATGTGTTTTTTTCTTCAATTGAGTCTTTTCTTATCTCCTTTATTGTGCTTACTCTTCCCTTGTCCCCAATCCTTCTTTGTGGAAACTCAATGGATTGTGGATCAGCGCGATTAAGTCGTCGATTTGAATCTGATTTACAAAATAAGATAAATTCTCAATATGTTTATGGAAGAAAAAAAAGTAAACTAATTATACCACTTCTACCACCCTCTGTCACAATGGTAGGATGGTGGTGACAAGTGGTAAACGATGATAAATGATGATTTGTATGTTCTTATCGCCATGTTATTACTGCTAGGTTTTTCACCAACTTGCTAACAACAATAATTTTGGTTTTGTTTTTGGGCTTCCCTTTTCCGTCTTCCAATAGAAAATCTAGCATTTGCTGAGGTTGTAAGGGATTCATCCTACATTTTGAGAGGATTTGTTGCGTCTCCTACGAGCAGGTACATCGACCGTCTCTTCCTCATTTCATAGTGAGGTGCCAATGTAATTTGCTCTTTCATTGTTGTAGCCCATCATTTCATTTATGAAATATTTCATGAAGTGAAACACCAAATGAAATTGCAAATGGGCCTTCTCATGTTTTGTCTTCCTTTTTATATTTTGGTTTTCCTTTCTTTGTAAAATAATGTGGATAAATATTTAGTTGTATTAAAGAAGTGAGTTGGACTCATATATGAAATAAAAGTGGATTTCATTGATGTACAGGAAATGAAATTGATATGTATTAAAATGATAAAAGTTGGTGATGTGATAATTGGGGCCACATATAAAATAAAAATTCTACTTCATAGATGTGGATAGTCTAAAAAGGCTTGTTATGAATTTTTAGGTGTTCTCCCCAACTCTTTGGGGACTTTTATGGGTCTAGCCTTAGCTCGAGACATCTATGACAATGTCTCTTTATTGCCCAGGATTTCAATGAAGCTATAAAGGGTTACTCCCTCCCTCACCAGAGGGACTTTGACGTACCTACTCCATCATAGATTACTTTTTTTTTTTTTTTTGACAAAGGGATCTTTATTGCTTGAACAATTGGTTACGGAGAGAAAATAAAATCCTGACTTCAACATAAGATTAAGGAAACAATGGAACACAGGATGACATCAAACCATGCTTGGGAAAATACAAATAGGGAAAGCACGACACAGATTGACATCACTCGAAAAAACAACCAAGTTCTTGAGACAAAGACAGAACATTTATAATCCCTCTTTCTTCCAACCAAACCAAGAGAAAGAATATCAGAACAGCTTGTCCGATCACAGCGAGATCCATGGCATTGAACTCAGCAAGCCATACGTCGTCTCCTGGGGAGTGCTCAAAGTCATCCAACACAGTGAATCTCAAAAGAGATTGCCTGACGGTGGAAGAGGCTGTGAAACAGATTGCTCCAAGCTGTGAAGGCTGAGGGGGCCAAGGTAGAGAGGATCGGTTCAAAGGGGAGCAAGCTTCCAAGGAGATCCACAGACCACCACAAAAGAACCGACCTCCACCGCAGCAACCGGAGATGACTCACCTCTCCACGATCCAACAACCATCCAGGCAACACCACCACCTTGGGGAAGACAGAGGGGGGAAGATGAGAATGGCTTCACCTTGCAGATGAGACCACCAACCTGGAAAGAACAACCATCACAAAGCAAAGATCAAGCTTCCCAAGCTGCAACCTCTAGATCCTCAAACGAGCTAGCCTTGAACCTGCAAAATCCTAGATCTGGAATGCCAAAATGGCTGGAGAGACTGAAAACATGAAGGTGAAACGCCTAGAAACAAAGGCTTGAAGATCGAAAATAAGACAAGCAATAAAAGCGAGAAAAAGGAGAAATTGGGCTGCCGCCGGTTACCTGAAGGAGTTGGTGGCAGCCATGAAAGACTGGAAAAAGGAGACTTTTTAGAGAGAAGGGAGAGTAAATGTGAAAAGGTAAAGTTGTCATAGATTACATTTACTAGACAGACATGACTTGGTGAAGTTTATGGTTCCACCTTAAGACTGAGAACCTCGGTGAATAGTGAAGGGTTTCACCCTACATATCATGAGAAGATTTAGTGCATTGTAATAGAAATTTGGATGGTCTGATCGCTCTTTCTTGAGGTATAAGGGATCTCACCCACCTCCGAGATTTAGAATTTTAGTGGAGCATTTAGTTCAACTAGGACAAGTAAATTGTAATTTTAGTGGAGCATTAAGTTTTCTTTTCCAATTTCAGTTAAAATGCATGTATTACATTTTGTTAATAAGGGATTGTCTAATGTCTACCCTATTTTTTGTTCCATCATTACCTCTCCAGACAAGGTACTTCTTTCTTAATACATTCATCGAGTCTGCAGAATACTCTGCTCGAGGCTAGGTGGCTGAAGCGAGAAATGTATACACCACGACCATGAGACGATTGAGGCACCTCCGAAAACCTGCCCCGAAAGATGGCAAATTGGAAATGGCCAAACCAAGGTGGGTACGGGCGTACAGCAACCCTATACCATCGGATTTGCTAATTGGCCAACTGTTACAGGTACAAAGTTTAATAGCAACCAAATGGTCATGAGCAGAGGTATCAATAACAATTCCTCTATTGGGTTGCAGCATCCTGATTCAACCCTATGATTATGAAAGATCAGCACAGGAAAACACAGAAAGCAACCTGGGAACTTTCTCTAAACATAAGTCGAATCATAAATGAGCCACAATTCTGTGTTTGGAAATGTCGGAACGAAGTGACAAGAAAGAACACAACAACCTTACGATAAAATTGAGATAACACAGAAGCAAAGTGTTGTGGCGGTTTCACATTCATAGAAAAACATGGATACTAACTTCAACGGAACTAGTCCTCTAAATTCATTCAACAGACCACAGAAACATGTATCAATACTCTGAATCCTCAAACCATATAGATAACCCTACTTGGTCTCAAAACAACAAAAACATCAGAACATCGGGGATCCAACACTGAAAATTGGGAGCAGCTTATCGCTTCTTGGACACACCAACAGTTTTTCCCCTACGGCCAGTGGTCTTGGTGTGCTGCCCACGGACTCTCAAGCCCCAATAGTGACGCAGCCCACGGTGGTTTCTGCAAACCCACAATCAGGAGTTAAATACCACACATATACACAAAAGGATCATGCTTCAAAAGGTTCGATCGTAAATTCATAACCACCCCCAACAGAAACCATATAGAAACAAACCTGATCTTCTTAAGCCTCTCAAGATCATCCCTCAACTTCATGTCCAGTGCATTGGAGACAACCTGGGAGTGCTTCCCATCTTTGTAGTCCTTCTGCCTGTTGAGGAACCAGTCTGGGATCTTGAACTGGCGAGGGTTAGCAACAATTGTCATCAGCTTATCGATCTCATCAGCAGAAAGCTCCCCGGCCCTACAAAGATATATCATATGAAAACCTCAACGAAGAACTCATGATGCTTGTAAAGGAAAACAAGCATATAGACAACGAAAGAGAAATGCCCCGCCCACCCTGCCTTTGTTTCCAGTATACCAATATAAAAACCAACACCCAGAAAGAAGCATGTCAAGCACTAGACTTCAGCCTCCAGGGGCAACACAGAAAAGGTTAACAAGATTAACGCCCTAGGTTTCAACAAAGCAAATAGATTATTCTAGAGGAACTATCAGCAGGAAACCCCAACAGTATACTCTCTCTTATGGGTTCATTTCCTCAGAAGTCAGAAGATAAAAGCGAGGACACAGCATCACAGCCAGAACCGATTCAGTTCTCGTAAATAAGATTCTGCTCAAATAAAATCCACACAGATACAGACTACCACTGAAACCACCAAGCACAAAATGAAAACCCCCAACAAGGAAAGAAAAGACGCATACCTCTTGTTCATGTCGACATCGGCCTTCTTGCAGACGATGTTGGCGAAGCGGCGCCCGATACCCTTGATGGAGGTCAAGGCGAACATGATCCTCTGCTTACCATCAACATTGGTGTTGAGGACACGAAGAATGTGCTGAAACTCCTCATTAGCAACGAGCGACTGCGTCAAAAAAAAAAAAGAAATCAAATAAGAATCAGTGAATCAATGAAGAAACCACCAGAGAGACCAAAGATCTCGACGAACGAAATCCTACCATGGCTGCCTTTGCTTAGGGTTTTCTCTCTCCCGTTCTGTCTCTCTCTCTCTCTCGCTCGCAGACGGCGCTTGAACTCTTCAGAGTTTGAGAGTTATATTAGCCAAGTCTGTACTAATAGTAGAAAACCCTAATGGACTTGGCGCAGCCTATTATAATACTCTTTTGGACTTGCCATCTCGGGCTTGCTGATTTGGGCCGACTCTAGGTGAGCCCAATAAATTCGTTTCGGCCCAACGTTCCCGCTCCAATGAGCCCAGTTCGTTTGTTTTTTCGGTTGCATAAGGCGGGAAATGAATGTCTGGCTGAAATGTTTTCCCCACTCATCAAGGGCTTAGATGCACTTCTTCAATAATCCAACGGTCCAAAATATGGAACCCCAAATTTCCCACAATTAGAAGTTACTCAAAAAAAAACCTGACACAGAAAAAGCAAGCTCCACAGCTACATGGACAGGCAGTCTGCTGTAAATTCAATTCAGACATTAGAGTACCCATTTGGTTTCTCCTTCTCCTTTCCCTCCTTCAAAACCTACAAAGCAAGAATGGGTTTCTCTTCCAGAGTCTGAGATCTCTCGGTGAAAACCAGCCTCAAACATGGTCCATTTCCTCAAGCATCTCACTGAGGAGACAATCGCACTCAAGAAACTGGTAAGCCATTTCAAAGTTTTAACCTTTCTCATGTGAAGGATTCCAGATTAGGGTTTTGTCAACCTTGTTAACTTATTGTCAAAATTTTGCCTGTTCTTTTTGTATATCAGCTGATTCCACCAGAGTTTGTTAGTAATTGTGGGAAGGTGAATCTGACCAACCCAGTAGTTTTGGAACCAACTGTTGGAGATGTACTTGAGGTGGAGCTCTACGAGGATGCAAGTGGGTTTTGGTTGAGGAATGGCTGGCAGGAGTTGGTAGTTCAGTATTCTCTGAGTCATGGCCACTATCTTGTGTTTGAGTACAAGAGCCGCTCCAGGTTTAAGCTTGTGATGCTTGGTGCAAATGGGCTGAACTTGGAGTTTCCAGCTTCCAGTTTTGTCAACATTGGACCGAACGGGAACCAGGTGGTTCCGGAGGCTGTGGAGGAAGAAATCACTGTCAATACAGACTCTGTGGAGTTCTTAGGTTGCTTGTCACATTAAAAGTCCCTTGTTGTTTTCAATCTCTTGGGGTTTGTAGGTTATCATGGTCTGATAGTTGTTGAGTTTTGCAGGCACTTCTCTGGCTAAGGACACGAACAGCTACAGCAATGGAGGTGGTGGAAGGCAGCAGGTACAGCTGCAGTCTGGTGAGAATGCCAAGCTCGATGAGTTCACAAGTGTTTGTTCAGCACATAAACAGTGAAAGGAGAGCTGAAACTTAATCATCCTTTTTCATCAATGTCGACAGGGAAGAGAAGAAGAACTTATGTGGGAGGGAAAAGGAAAGCAAACTTGGTAGCTTCACAGAAGAATCGAGGTAACGGGAGCCCCTTCGGATGTGATGAGCTGAGAACTTCACATTCTATCCATGGAAGTTACAAACTGTTTACTTTCAAAGCTTTTGAAAACTGCAGTTCTGCTTTCTTCTAAGCGAAAAAGAACTGATGGCAGAGGGAAAAGGAAAGCGAGCTTGGTAGCTTCAAGGAAGAATCGAGGTAATGGGAGCCCCTTCGAATGGGATGAGGCTACTCTCGCATCCCATCCATGGAAGTTACAGACGTTTTACTTTCCAAGCTTTTCAAAACTGCAGATCTGCTTTCTTTTAAGTTGTACAAAGTATTGTATGAAATTTGACTTTCCTGAAAGTATTATGAACAGGTGAGCCAGTTGCTAAGCGACTTTTTGGCGGTCACAATACCAAACGGAAAGAAAATCAGGACTTTGTGGAGTCTGCAGAGGCAGAAGATTATGTAGATGCGAACTTTATGGAATACTTAGGTCAGTTCTCCCATTGCAATCTTATGCTCTCTTATTAGTCACAACAAAACCTCGTTGTTTTGGATCTCTTTATGATTTCGGTTTACATGGTTTGAATTTATGCTGGTTTGGCAGGCTTTGTTGAGGAGATGAACAGAAACAATGGAGATGATGTGGGGCAGCCACAACATCCACAGTCTGCAGAAAATGCAAGTCAAAATGAGTTCATGAGTGCAAGTAAGTGTTGGTCCAGCGCATAAATAGGGAAGAAATGAACACATATTTGATAATATTCTCATCTATTTCTGCAGGAAAGAGAACTAGAGTTCATGGTGGAGAGAACATGAAGGTGAACCAGGAAGCTCCAAGGACATATGGAGATACAGGAAGCCCCTCTGGAAGGGAAAATGCTGAGACCTCTCACATTCCATCCATGGCTGAACAAGAGGGTACAGAATTTTAGTTTCCAACCTTTAGGGAACTGAAAATCTGAGTTACCTGAATATACTTTTGATACCTATGTCAGCTTCTGAGAGACCTTCCGGCTCAAGGTGTTCCAGACCCACAACTAAAACGCTAGATGGGTTCAACTCACAACCTGGTTTTCTCAAAGTCATTGTCACTGAAAGTTCCTTGGCAAACAAAGGCTTGGTAGGTTGTCACAAACAAACAGTGCTTTTGTTCCATTGGTTCATCTCCGAGGAAACAACTGAAAGTGTTTTCCTTCCTGCAGTTGATGCAGGGAGGTATGATTGAGAGGCACATCAAAGCTTGGAATGGGAAAATGGTGGCACTTCAAGTTGAACAAGAAACATGGCCTGTAAAAATCACTACATGCAATGGTGTGCCTACTCTTTTCAAGGGCTGGTTGCCATTTGCGCGTCATCACTCTCTGAAAGCAGGCGACACACTCACATTTGTGCCCACCGAAACTGAAGATCTGTTCAGCGTTCATATTCTGCGTTGTTAGCAGACGAATGCTGCTTGTTAGTTGGGAAGTTCCAACAACTGTTTAATGTAGTTTGTGAGAATGATTATCATCGACTCATGGTAGCATGTTTAATGACCTTCGATCGTTTCTTTGCTGAATGTGTGAATGCTCAAGTAGCTGTTTCTCTTGATGTTCATCTGCAGCAGCATGTGTCTATAGGAAGAATCTATTGTACTAATATCCATTACTAAATGCTGAGAAATGAAACATCTTTGCTACTCCTTTGCTGAATGTTTGATGCTCAACTAACTGTTTCTGTTGATGTTCATCTGCAGCAGCATGTGTCTATAGGAAGAATCTGTTGTACTAATAGCCATTACTAAATGCTGAGCAAAGAACATTTTGCTTTTGTGTGTGGTTTTACAAATAAGATATGAGAAGGATCTCCAAATAAAGGGAGGTAGTGAAAATTCAGTTAGAAAGCCATTGCAACAAATTAGTAGCAGTAGCTGTCTTTCTGATCTGGCGTTTTCGGGTTAAAGACACATTTGGTCACTGAGATTACAAAATCGGGACATGTTTAGTCACTAGAAAAAATTAATATCAAATTTGGTCACTACAATTACTAAAACTGGACACATTTAGTCACTCGCCGTTAGTCTCCGTCCAACTCCGTTAATGAAGTCCGTTAAGTGATGATGTGGCAAACAGAAATGCCTAATCAGCCGGATATAACCCAACAAAAATAAAACCCGACCCGCCACGTCATTAAAACCAACCCAACCCAACCCATGACCCAACCCCACCCAACCCTTCTTCCTCCTTCCTCTCACCTCCTTCTTTCCCCAAAAACCTTCTTCCTCCTTCCTCTGCACACATCTGGATGATACTGTTGTAGACAAAACCAACCATCATAAGATCGGAGATTCAGTCTTCTAATCTCCTTGTTCATGACCTCCGATGCTTGGGGATGCCTCATGTTCGCTTTCCACAGTTCAGCGACCTGCAAAGGGAAATCAATTAGAAACTCAATCGAAAAAATTCAAGTTTCAAAAACCTAATAATAAGCGGAAGATCCGGGCTACTGTTCTGACCAGTTTCTCCATTTCCTCAGGCCTCTTCCCGCGAGACAATCCATCGGAAATGCCCGTGAGGACTGCAAAAATCAAGACACCGGGAGTTAGGGAGACGAATCGAATCGAAAAATAAATAACAATAGAAAAAGATGAAAGCGATGGCTATAAAGAAAGACCTCGGAGTCGATCTATGGCGTAGAGCTCGAAATCCTCAAGCCGGACTTCGAGAGATGGAGCCGAGCGGTAGAGGAAGGAGGAAGAAGGGTTTTGTCTACAACAGTATCATCCAGATGTGTGCAGAGGAAGGAGGAAGAAGGGTTTTGGGGAAAGAAGGAGGTGAGAGGAAGGAGGAAGAAAGGTTGGGTGGGGTTGGGTCATGGGTTGGGTTGGTTTTAATGACGTGGCGGGTCGGGTTTTATTTTTGTTGGGTTATATCCGGCTGATTAGGCATTTCTGTTTGCCACATCATCACTTAACGGACTTCATTAACGGAGTTGGACGGAGACTAACGGCGAGTGACTAAATGTGTCCAATTTTAATAATTGTAGTGACCAAATTTGATATTAATTTTTTCTAGTGACTAAACATGTCCCGATTTTGTAATCTCAGTGACCAAATGTGTCTTTAACCCGGCGTTTTCGTTCCCAAATATCAACACTTTTTTTTAGCAATGGCGACCGAACTCAATCCAGCTTCCTTCCTACTCTTACTGCTACTCCTCCTGCCGGCGATATTCTCCGCCGTGGAAGGAGGGATCCGGAAATTCCACATTACCGACGACCTCCGTGACGTGGTGGACGACGAAGAGGATGAAGTGTGGAAGGAATGGGGGAAGAAGAAGACCTCCGACGAGTTCGATCCCCCGCCTTCCGACATGTCAAACATGGAGCTGGAAGCGATTCAAGAAGCGTTCATGAAGCGGACGATGGGCCCCGTTTTCGGGTTCGTCAAGCTCCGGCCCGGCATCAAACGTACTCCGGTAAGCCAGATTTCTAATCTCCTTCACCGGAATTAGGTTCTGCTCGCCGGAATTGTTAATTCCGGTGGTGGTAGTGGGGTTTTGCAGGATACGGTGGCGGATCTCGCTCGGAAATGGACCAAAATGCTGAGAGCTGGAGCGATGGAAGTGAATCTCATGGGGATTGATCGGAGTACTGTTATGTTCAACATGGCCGAAGGCCGCCGCTCCATCGAAGTGAGAGCTTTCCTTTTTTTCCTCTCTGTTTTCCTCTGTTTCTTCATCAGGTTTTGGGCTTCACTCTGTTTCTGTTTTTTTCTTTTTTCCTGGGAATCTGCTGCAGCTGAAGGAGTTTGTGTTGAACCAGCCGGAGGCTTACGAGATCAAGATCGGAGATAACTTGTTCCGGAGGCAAGGAGATCCGCCATTAGAGCAAGTTATTGAACAGATCCACCGAGCCAAGAACGAAGCCTCTGATGGTACTAGTCATCATGAGGAGGAGAAGGAAGAGAAAGAAGAAGAAGAGGATCTCAAGGAAGAACTCTAGCTTCTTTCTGCAGCTCAGAAGCTAACATTATATGAGTTTCTGAATGAACCCTTTTATGCAGCTGGTGCCAAGTGTTCTTCAGGTTACATTTTTCTGTGTTGGAAGTGGGTTTTAGCAAGCTGTCGTGAAAAGTGCAGAACTTTGAGCTTATAATAACTACATCAATGTCGAGCTCCTTCATTGTGCCATATCAAGTAGCTGTGTGTATTTGTCAAAACCAGGTGAACTCAGATAACGAAATCAACCCATTGTACAAACCTTAAACACAAGCAGTTTCTTCCTATAGAAACATGTTGCAGATGAACATCAATGAAACTGACAAGAAAGGTTTAGTAAACATGATACTTTGTTAGAATCACTCCCCGCCCGTTTAACTTAGTAGTACAAATCATGAACAATCCTTAACATCAGTCAACAAAAATCATTACTTGAGCATCAAACATTCGGCGAAGGAACAACAGCATGATCAAAATCCTTAAACAAACTACCAGAGTAATCATTCTCAAATACTACACTAGCAAGTGTTGGAACTTCCAAACTAACAAGCAGCCGTCATAGGAGAACAACGCAGAATATGCACTCTGAGCAAATCGTCTGTGTTAGTGGGCACAAATATGAGTGTGTCCCCTGCTTTCAGAGAGTGATGACGAGCAAATGCCCACCAGCCTTTAAGAAGAATAGGAACACCCTTGTCGGTAGAAATTTTCACGGGCCATGTTTCTTCTTCAACTTGAAGCTCCACCATTTTGCCATTCCAATCGGTGATATGCCTCTCAACCATACCTCCCGGCATCCGCTGCAGGTAGAAACACTTTTTTAGCTGTATGCACTAAGATGAACCAATAGAACAAAACCACTGTTTTGTTTGTGACAACCTACCAAGCCACTTTTATCCAAGGAACTTTTCTTGACAACGACTTGGAGAAAATCAGGTTGTGAATTAAACAACCCATCTACAGACTTAGGTGTGGGTCTATCACGCCTTGAGCCCGAAGGTATCTTAGAAGCTGGCATAGAAATCAAGAATATATTCAGGCAACTCAAATTCCATACATTGCCCTGTAAAACTTGGAAGAAAACTGGATAAGCACATTGTCAGTTTACTGAAGCCTGGAAAGTAGAATTCTTTACCTTCTTGTTCAGCCATGGCTGGAATGCGAGAAGTCTCGGCTTTATCCCTTCCAAAGGGGCTTCCATTAACTCGATGTGCCTTTGGAGCTTCCTGATCCACCTTCCTCTTCTCTTTTCTCTTTATTCTTCGGTAGTATTGTGCTCTTATTCCTATTCTTCTTTTTCTCTTCCCTGTAGACATTGATGAAAAAAGGATGATTAAATTTCAACTCTTCCTTCCCTCTTGATGTGCTGAACCAACACTCACTGGCATTAATCTTGGCATTCTCACAAGACCCCAGCTGTGTCTGCTGTCTTCCACCACCTCCATTGTTGTTGTTGTTGTTATTCATGTCCTTGACCAGAGATGTGCCTGCAAAACTCAACAACAATCAAAACCGTGATAACCAGTAAAACCCAAGAGATTCAAAACAACAAGGGAGTGAGGGACATTCTTGTGACAAGTAACCTAACAACTCCACAGAGTCTGTATTGACAGCCATTTCTTCCTCCACAGCCTCCGGAACCACCTGGTTCCCATTTGGTCCAACGTTGACAGAACCGGAAGCTGGAAACTCCAATTCCAGCCCATTTGCACCAAGCATCACAAGCTTGAACCTGGAGAAGCTCCTGTACTCAAACACAAGATAGTGGCCATGACTCAAGACAGTACTGAACTACCAACTCCTGCCATCCATTCCTCAGCCAAAACCCGGTTGCATCCTCGTAGAGCTCCACCTCAAGTGCCTCTCCAACAGTTGGTTCCAGAAACACTGGATTGGTCAGATTCACCCTCCCACATTTACCAACAAACTCTGGCGGAATCAGCTGATGTATAAAAAGAACAGGCAAAAATTTGACAGTAAGTTAAACAAGACTGGAATTTTGAACATGAAAAGGGACAAAGCTTTTTAAAGAGCTTACCAGTTTCTTGAGTGCGATTGTCTCCTCAGTGAGATGCTTCAGGAAATGGGTCATGGTTGAGGTTGGTTTTCACAGCAAGAGGATCTCAAACTCTGAAGGAGAAACACGGGTTCCTTTTGTAGGGTTTGACGAAGGGAAAGGTAAAGGAGAAAACTTTCAAGCTACAAGACAGAAAGAGGAAAACTTTTCTAGCAGGCTGCCTGTTGTAGTGCTGCTGTACTGGGACTTGGGGTGCTGCTTTGCTGAAAACGGTTAAAGGAAGTATTTGGTTGTCAGGTTTGTGCTACTTCTATTTGTAGAAAAACCATATTATGGACCGTTGGATTGATGAGGACATAATCATCCATGGGTCTAGAATAAGCACTTGATGAGAGTGGATAGAAAAATTGGCCAGACCGTCCTTTCCCGCCCAACTGGATGAGTGATTCTCTGTTTGACAGAGGAAGAGATGAACAGTTTTCAACCATTTGACAGAGGAAAATACAACTCAAACCTGAATGCATGATACTTCCGGCTGGGTTTCGGAATTAAACCCGTGTTTCTAACTGGTCCGGCCGGTTAACGACATGAACCAAGGTTGATTCTGAGTCCTCTAATTCTTTCTGATCATCACCCCGCATTTGTTTATTTCAAGCAAGAATGAATCACCGCAGAAGCTTAACTCAAACTTGAAGCGGCCTGCCTGCCGACCCTTTTGCTCTGCATGCAGAGACACAGGGTAGTCTGAGCTCAGATGACTTCTTCCGGCGACCGGAGCCTCGAAGACCCCGGCAGCAGCTTGGTGGCGGGAACCCATTTCGTCAAAATCATCCTCCATGCCACCCTTCGTGACGAAATACTTGTAAGAATTCGATTAATGAACCAATGCATAAGCATGTCTAGAAATTGACTCTCCCTCCTTCGCTCCTTTACATGCATGCTGCTAAATTTGTTGCAGCTGATTCCTGGTAGATTCGTTAGAACTTATGGAGAGAGTTTGTCCACCTCCGCGACTTTGAAGGTCCCGAGTGGTGCGACGTGGACGGTGGATGTGGTTAGGGACGAAATTGGGGTCTGGTTCAGCAATGGATGGGGTGAATTCGCGGAGTCTCACTCCTTGGAATTTGGTCATTTCTTGGTTTTCGAGTACGAGGGTTGCTCCAGATTCTCTGTAGTCATATGTGATAGAACCGGTGCAGAGATTGCATACCCGATTCGTACAACTTGTGAAGCGAATCTCGAAGAAACTGAGGATTTCTTTGGTGCAGGCATAAGAAAGAGGTCTGAATCTCTATCTGAGGTCACTAAGCCTCAAGTTAAGAACAAGATGATGGTGATGAGGGGTAGTATTTCCAGTGGAAATGCTGCTAAAATGGGATCCTGGTCGCGGATCGTGTTACCGACTAATGGGTGTAAGTAAGAGGGTTTTGAGTTTAATGTCTTTGTTTTGGGTTGTTTCTTCAGACATAGTACTTTCTTGATATTGTTAATGTTGTGTTTCTTAACGTGGGATGATCGAAGTCAACTCATCCCGGGTTGATGATGAACAAGAGGATGAGTCTACGAGGACGATCTCTGAGGAGCCCTCGCGCTCGAGGAAATGCAGGGTTAGTACGGGATTCACTTCGCCACATCCTTTCTTTGAAGTTCAAATCACTCCAAGCATGTCAAAGAGGCAAATGGTAAGTTCAGCTTAGCGATGCCAATAGAAAACCCCTCAAAGATGCAACCCACTGCTAGCTGAACACTGCCATAATAGACTGATTCATGTTTCTGCCGGATTGTTTTTCTTTAAGCATGTACCTCATAGCTTTTCATCGAGTCACATCGCACAAGATGAGAAGGCGGTGCAGATCCAGGTTAGGGATGGAAACAGCTGGTCCTTGGCACTGATTAGGAAGAAGAGAAACAAGTATGTGATGTTTGGTGGTGGCTGGGATAGGTTCATGAAGGATAACTCAGTGAAGCCAGGGGACATTTGCATTTTCGAATGCCTACGGAGGTGGACTAATGTCCTGATGCAAGTTACCATAGTAAAAGATGTTTAATTAGATAGGCATGTTGTACTTTTTAAAATGGAAAATCATCTCTTGACTGTTTCCAGCTTCCTGCTGGATATATGCTAAGTTCAATACTTTGGGGGGTATGGTGTGATTTACAGTTTTCTTCAGTTCCTTCTCTGTAAAGCTAAAAGCATTATGCCTTTTTCCGAGTTTTCATGGGAAAAGCTGCTATTTCTTGCCATGGAAGAGTTCTGGTACGATGACAGAGAGAAATTCTTTTGATGAAGTGAACCCTTCTGCAACTTCAGTTGCTGGTCTACCACTGGCTTGAGGTGGATGTCTCTTATGAACTGGCTGTAATGTCTGGCAACACCATGTTCAGTCATGGGAAAGGACTTTAACTATCAGCTGTGCGCTTCCCTGCATAAATTCGAGTTCTTTCTTCCGCAACACCAAGTCACTTGCTCTCATAAAATCCTCGTGCATGGCATTCTCAGCAGACCATCAATCGACTTGCAACACAAACTCACTGTTTTGATGCTAGAGTTTGATGATTTTATGAACCAAACATCGATCGAACACCAGGTATAATGATTGTCAAGTATTCAGGTCCTCCACACTGGTAGAAGATGATTAAAATGTGATGTGACATTTGCACTTATAATCAGTTTCAGCAGTCTTAGTGAAAGAGCTGATTTTAGATATTGGTTATTAGGTTGAAGTTGTTGGATTTGCAAGTCAATAGCTTGCATTTTCAGAAACAGGACCCCTAGCATTCCACACTGATGAAACTAGCTTGAGCCCCTTCTCTCTGTTTCCTCCTAATATTCACACAAATATATTACTGCTCATCTGAGGTGCCGGCCATAAATATTTCATCGTCATCTTCGCCGAGAGTGTATAATTAATACCTTTCATGGAAAGTGGCACCAGCATTTTTAGGAGTCACTATCAATTCGTTGTTCGATCACAAGCAAATGCATACCTACAGAGCCGGCAGTAAGGCCTCCATTCGAAGATGTTCTATGGAGCTTGTATACCTGCACTTACAGCTCAGGTTCAAGCCACAGCTGTCTGATCAACATCATAGGCAATAAGCAATACTGCAGCCAGAAAGCATCTGTATATTTGACCTGACATTGTCATGTTGTAGAGTCTAGAGCTATGAATGAGGAAAGATCACAGACATCAAGGGAAAATAGATGCAGATTGCAGAGTTGTATTAAGAAACAACATCATAAAAACTTCAGAAACTGGAAGCCTTAGCACGGCCCTGAACAAACTATATCCATTAGTTCCCTCAGCTACAAACTAGTAGTCTCATACTCTCATCTGCATCAATCACTCCTAAAACACAAAAAGCCACAAATAACACCTCAACTTTCATTCTAGGAGGTTCAAAAACAAACTTAATTCCTCTGAATAGTCACTTCTATCTCATTACTGGAGATGAGCTTGAATTGGCAGACATCCCCTGGTTTCAGAGAGTTGCCATTGCGGAATGCTGGCCAACCGCCATAGAAGCAGCCCCGTCCACGTCCAGCTCGAGCTTTACTATGTGGTCTAAAGACGAAGGACAAGAACCACGGGCCCGACCCATCTTCACCATAAACCGCCATAGTGCTTTTCTCAAGCTTCATGTGTTTGAGCACGAAATCAATCGGCACATACTGCATATTTGGTGAGAATGAAAGAGAGCGAGAGAGACATCAAATTTTGTTGAGCAAAGCCTGCTTAAAAAAAGATGAATTGGATTTATGGAAATAAATGAACTTACTACAAATGTACTCTCCATGTAACATTGACTTATGGTAATGAAGAAGCTTGGACTGGTCGAGCTTGTGGAGGCATTTTCCTTCCTTGGTTCTGGTATTCCTGCATGCATTCAATTGAGTCGCAATGAGTTTCAGGCAATTCAAGTTTCATAAACTACTTCATAAAACCTAGAAGAAATAACTTTTGATTTTTCGAAAGCTGGTAAGGTAAAAAGTTTAACCTTCAAGATGTCCACGTCCCCTACCGAACTGACTCCCATTACCCCTCTGACCACCATCCGCGGTTCTCCCCTTCCCTGCAGAATTGATGAAAGGATGATCAAATTTCTGAATCGTTCATCCCTTTCTTTTGTTCTAAGCTGAACCTACACTCACCAGAACTCATGAATGCTTTTTGCTTGGCTTTCTCTGCAGACTGCGGCTGGACTGGCTGCCTCCTACCACCGCCATTGGTCTCCATGTTCTTAGCCACAGGTGAGACTGAGAAAACTCAGTAGAAGGCAAGTCATGATGAACCCAAAACTAAAGAGCGATATAAAAACAAGCGCATTTGTTATGACAAGAAACATAAGAGCTCCGCAGAGACTGTACCCCTGGTCTCTTCCTCCTGCTCAGCCTCTGGAAACACCTGGTTTCCATTCAAGCCCACCTTGTGGAACCTGGAAGCTGGACACATCACGTCCACCCCATTTGCACCAAGTATCACAATCTTGAACCTGGAGAAGCTTTTGTACTCGAACAGCAGATAGTGGCCATGAGTGAGAGAATAGTGATCTGCAAACTCCTGCCAGCCATTCCTCAGCCAAAACCCCATAGCATCCTCGTAGAGTTCAACCTCCACCTCTGGTGGGTTTCCAATAGTTGGTTCCAGCACTACTGGGTTGGTCAGATTTAACCTCCCACATTTGCTAACAAACTCAGTTGGAATCAGCTGATGCATAAAAGAACAGGCAAAAGGTGACAGTAGGTTAACAAGGTTGAACATGGAAAAGGAAAAAACTTTGAAGGGCCTACCAGTCTCTTGAGTGCGATTGTCTCCTCAGTGAGATGCTTCAGGAAATAGGCCATGTTTGAGATTGGTTTTCAGGCAGCAACAGATCTCAAACTCTGGAGGAGAAACACTTGTTGCTTTGTAGGGTTTAGAGAAGGGAAAGGGGAAGGAGAAAAGCTTGAAAGAGGCAAGACAGGGAGAGGAAAAGAAAATGGGCTACTCTGATGTCTGAATTGAATGTCTATCAGGCTGCCTGATGTAGTTGGGTGTCAGGCTTGTGTTATTTCTAATTCTGGGAAATCTGGGAAAACATGGTGATACTCATATATTATGGACCATTGGATTGTCATTGATATGATCATCCAAGGATCGAGATGAGCCCTTTGCTGCTCTTCTGTTCCAAATCCAGCTGATGAGAGCAAATAAACAAATTTGACCAGAACTATATTTCCCGCCCAAATGGAAGAGATCAGTTATATTAAAATATAATCCACTGCTTCCTTTTTACATTAATTTCATCTGCAGCTGGCTGGACACAGAAATGTTAAACTGAAGAAACAAAGATGAAAGATGGCATGGCAGACAAAAGTCCTGCATCCTCATGAAGCATTAATAAGTTTTCTTCCCTGGTGCAAAATTTCAACCCAAGCAAAGCATAAAGAGGAACAGTATTCCAAAGAACACAACAAACAACAGGCAGAATCTAATTAAACACATTCTCTTACGAATTAGTTCCCTCAGCTACAAACTAGTAGTCTCCTACTCTCATCTGCATCGTCACTCCTAAACACACAAAAAGCGACAACTAACACAGCACATCAACTTGATTCCTCTGAATAGTCACTTCCATCTTATTGCTGGAGATGAGCTTGAATCGGCAGACATCCCCTAGTTTCAGAGAGTTGCCATTACAGAATGTTGACCAACCGCCACAGAAGAAGCCCCGTCCACGTCCCTTTCGAGGTTTACTGTCTGGTCTAAAGACGAAGGACAAGCACCACGGGCCCAAGCCATCTTCCCCATAAACCATCACAGTGCTTTTCTCAAGCTTCATGTGTTTGATCACAAAATCAATCGGCACAGTCTACATGTTCATTGAGAAGAAAAAGACCGCGAGAGAGGGATCAAATTTTCTTGAGAGAAGCCTGCTTAAAAAGAGGTGGATTGCATCGATTCGATTGGAATTACTAAACTTACTGCATATTTCTCCATGTATTGACTTATGGTAATGAAGAAGCTTGGACTGATCGAGCTTGCCCTCCTTGATTCTGGTATTCCTGCATTCAAATTCAGTTGAGTCACTATGAATTTCAGGCAACTCGAGTTTTCATACACTACTTCATAAACCATAGAACAAGAAGAAACCGCATTTGAGTTTACCATCAGAAATACTACCCCTCATCCTCATCTTCTTCTTGCTCTGAACTTGACGCTGAGAAACCTCAATTAGGGTTTTCGACTTCTTTCTCATGCGGGTATCAAAGCAATCCTCAATTCCTCCAACATTTGCTTCACAAGTTCTGGGAATCGGGTAAGCAATCTCAACAGCAGTCTTATCACATATGACTACGGAGAATCTGGAGCAACCCTCGTACTCGAAAACCAAGAAATGCCCAAATTCCAACGAGTGGAACTCCGCGAATTCCCCCCATCCATTGCTGAACCAGACCCCGATTTCGTCCCTAACCACATCCACCGCCCACGTCGCGCCACTTGGCACCTTCAAGATTGCGGATTTCGGCAAACCCTCGTCGCCGTTTCCGACGAATTTACCAGGAATCAGCTGCAAAAGTTTAGCATGAATCAATTTTGATGAAATGGGTATGAAAATTTGTTGTTGAGAGGTTGTCATTTCTTACGAGCTTTCTGTCGCGAAGCGTGCTCTGAAGGATGATCTTGAAGAACCGGGTTCCGGCCACCAAGCCGCTGCTGCCGGCGTCGTCGCGTCTCCGATCGCCCGTAGAAGTCATCTGATCTCTCTTGCAAGTAAATTAATGGTGTTAGGCGTCACTCACTCGTACTTATATTAGTGATGGATGGTGAGCCCGGCTACTTTTTCCCCCGCGCCAAAGAGTCAAAGCAAAGTCAACATCCCTGCCCCTTTTCCTTTTCCTTCTCTTCTCTGTAAACGAACTTATTTCGCGCCACGCCACCCTCTACGTTTACGTGTTTGGGGCCATTACTGATTACACTGCACCGGCAAATTCGGCGTTTTTTTCCTTCTTCTCTCCATCCAGTCTCTGTATTAGGGTTTCTACCTCTTCTCAGTTCTCTGTATTAACATTAAACATGGCAGCCGCCGGCGAGAGCAGCGGTTTCTCATCAGAATTCTTCAAAGTCTTCCTCGCCGAGAACAGCTCCACCCAACTCGTACGTACTTCTCCCCCCCCACATTCGTCCCGTGGACTCAAAACCCTATTTTATTTTTGTGTTTCCGTAGTTGGGTAACTACAAAGTTCCAATCTTTTTCCGTTTTTCTTTCTCCCCTGAATTCTGCAGCGGTTTCCGCCGGCGTTCGTCGCCGAGGGACTGGGAAGGAGGATTCTGAAGAAGAACGCGACTCTCGAAGACGAAACGGGGAAGACATGGACGATGGTGATGAAGAGGGAACAGGAACTTGGGGATCTGTTGCTTGACGATGGGTGGCCGGAGTTCGTGACCGGCCATTGTTTGGTAGATGGGGATTTCTTGGTTTTCAGGTACCGTGGTAACTGCTGCTTCAATGTCGAAGTTTTCGGGAGAAACGGGCTCAAGAAGAAGAAGGCGAACGTAAATTCTCAAGCTCTTACGTTAAAGACCGTGAAGCAAGAAGAACCAATCGAAACGGAGAAACAGGAAGGAAAACAAAAGAAAACAGAGGAACAAGAAGCAAAACGAAAGGTAACAGAGAAACAACAACGAAAAGAGATAAAATTCGCTGAAGAGATTCTTGTGAAGGAGGAACAGCTGGAGAGCGAAAGCAGCGGTAGCGATTGGGAGGAGTCTAAGCGACGCCGTCGCAGCGGCGGCGGCCGGAAGAGGAGAAGGCGAGGGGGTCAAGAAACAGAGTCGGTGAACAAGACGAGCGGTAAAGAAAATGCAGAGCTCTGGAAGTAAAACAGAGCTTTGAGAGATTCTATTGGAATCACAATTTCACCAAGAGATTCTCTGTTTTTCTTTTTTGGCAGGAATCAGAAGAGGACGACTAAAAGAACCATTTGTGCAACTAGAAGGTCCTCACTTTACAGTCAAGATGACGAAGCATTGCGCGTACAGCGTGGTACAAATTTTCTGCTATCCCTTCTCTTTTGTACTGTAAAGATAAACAGGGTTGATGAAATTTGATCATCCAACCTCTGGCCCATGGAGTAGTGGGAATCGTGAAACTATCTTCTATTTTGCAGAGTGTTCCAATTTCGGTGTTGAGAGATTACAACATCAAACTGGAGGATGCAATAACTCTCACCGGCGGTGGTGCAGGGAATTCATCGACTGCGTTCGTGACGTCGAGGTTTGATGGCCGGGTTGTGATCAATACAGGGTGGAGTAACTTCAGGAGGGAGAACCAAATCATGCTTGGAGACGAATGTGTGTTCGAGTTGATAGTTTCGGACGGTGATCATGTTTGCCGGGAGGTGAAAGTTCATGTTCAACGTGGAAATGGAACTCCTCCTGCCGCCGGTGGTGGATTGAAAGGGATGATGTGATGATTTCTTGACAGGGTCATGTTGGTTAGGAGAAGTTTAAGTGCGAAACTTTACTCCGTATTGTCTAGAGATATCGTTGCATTGTACATGATCGAATGTTCGCAACAAATACGAAACTGGAGAGAGGATTGCATTCATAGAAGTGGAAGAAAGAAGATGCAGAGTTTCAAGATGCCAAAATCAAGGGCCAAAAATAGAACTTTGGGCAATACAGTAGCGAATGAACCGCCACTGCACCGTGTACCAGTAACCCAAAGACACAAGCCTATCAAGTCAATAACCCAAAGCTCTACTCCTATGAAAAACCCAGTTTCAGATTATTCTCTCTGCCAAAAAAAATTTGGAGAACTAATTCAGAACGGAACACAGGGACAGCAAAGTCTAAACATGAATACAGCTGATACATGTCCTGATGTCCACTGGGAAAGAACGGTAACAAAACAAAACAAAAAAACTCATGAACACAGGCTCGTGTAGTTTCAACTAGCCATCGGATGGTTATGAATGTACTCGATAGCGAGTTTGCAGGAATCGATTTTGTCAGCTTCCTTGTCGGGAATCTCCAGCTTGAATTCCTCTTCCAAAGCCATCAAAATCTCGACATTGTCCAAGCTGTCCAGCCCTAGATCACTCTGGAAATGTACGTCAGGGGTCACCTGCACACGCAAATGATTGCAGATAAAGCTACTGTCACCAAGTGTATCAAATACTAGGAAATAATTGACAGCACGGTTTATGCATTGCAGAAACAAATAACTTAAAGAGACTAGAGATGATAAGAACTCTTGTCACCCAACAATACAGATAGATTAAGCTACATGGGCACTGACATACAAACTGACGTCCTGACATCGATGATATAGAGTGTTGCAGGACTGAAAGCAAATGCAAGGCTACACAAGGCAAGGTAATTTAAGATAAACCCTAAGGGAGAGTGAGCTAAAAACTAATTTCAGCTCCCATGGACATCAGCATAGAGTCTGAAATATCTCTTCTCTATTGATATTCACACATGGTGTTTGCTTGAATAGTTTGGGGTAAATTAGGCCTTCTCCATCTATGCCAGGCAACCTCACACAAAAATTTGCTTCAATCAAAGGTTAACCAGCATAAGAACTTGCCAGAAAATCCTCAAGGGCAATGAGCCAGGCACATAATAGTAAGACAGGCCAGGAGAAATTCCAACATAGTTCATCTGCTAATTGGGTCTTTCGCATTTTTCCCAACAACATCCTCTGGTAAAGGTCAATAGACTCGCTGATTAAGGGCCAGTACCTATCTTAATTAACCCCTTTCCCGTACAATCGGAGAGTGAAGATTCACTTCACTTCCTCAGGTCATTTTGATTATCGTACTGTATTGGATCTACAACGGCAGATGAACTGGAGTACAATTAATCACTTCATTCAGAACTGGCCAGTCTCTAAAACATCAATAAACCCTAGAGAGGCAGAAATGAAACATTCCCAATCCGAACGAAATGACAAGGTGTAAGAAAGCAGGAATGGATCTGCGGAACTCTGGAAGAAGACAGCGAGGTAAAGAAAGGTAATCGACGGAGAGACGGACCTTGGACGGATCGACTTTAGGGAAGCTCTTGACGACGGAGAGGACTCTGTCGGCGACATCTTCCTTGCTGAGATGGTCGTCGTGCGATGACATGAACCGGATGGAACCGAAGAGGCTGTTGGCCACCGACGGCTGAGAGACTCGGCCGGCGGGAGAAAGGGTTTGGACGGGAACCCGGAGGTGACGAATCAAAGCTGCTCTCAACGCCATTTTTTCTCTCTCTCTCTCCGTTTGTGTTCGGACTTCAGAGTTCGTTGTGGACGAAGGACCGAATATATACGCACACCCCGAGTTTCAACCGAGTTGCACCACGAGTTGAGCAGCACTCCAACCGTTAGATGGGCTGAAATTTTGTGGCAATTGGAATGTACATAACCGGTTCGGTCTAGAACGGTTTAGGCCAAAATAAAAAAATGAGAATCCTAAGTTTTTTTTTTTTTTTATAAATGGATGCAGAGCATCTCAGCCTTCATTCAAAACCAGACGGGGTTCGGAAAGCCCCTGACAGTCATACAAAATCCAATGCACAAAGGTGGGGTCATTAACGGGAAAGAAGCTGAAACCCAGAGGCAAATGATGCCCACGACTAGCTAAAAAATCAGCACACTTGTTACTTTCTCTGTAGACATGGGAGATGGCAACCTCCCAATTTCTTCCAATGAGCGCCTGGAACCGAGCAACAACTGCTGAGTGCCTGTTGTCCTCGCGATGGTGGCTCTGGAGGATCTGACAGGCACATTTCGAGTCCATTTGAACTTTGACCCGACGGAAGCCCAGGTCCTAGGCCAGCTGAAGTCCCTCAACAACGCCTCTCAACTCAGCTCGAGTGACAGAGCAAATCCCGAGGTTCATAGCGAACGCCGCGTAGCAGCGCCCAGTGTGATCTCTGATCAGGCCACCAGCAGCCGCGTGGCCTGATTCAGTCATGACGGAGCCGTCGGAGTTGAGAGTTACCCACTCGGGAGGAGGCGGCGTCCAAGAGATCATCTCCTCCGTTCTAGCAGGTGGACTCGGATGGTGAACTGCCTTGTCCATGTCCATTGCATTCTGCACTACATTAACCCATGCCTGGACGCGATGTAGAAAGACTTCAGCTGAAACGACCTTGCCTGCAAAGACGCGGTCGTTCCTGGTCCGCCAAAGAGACCAGCAAGTGATGCCGAACAGCAAGCTCATGTGCGGCTGTCGAATGTATCTCAGCAACCAGTCCTGGAGCTGGAGACCGAAGAAAGTCTGGTGTTCAGAAGGCTGGATGACCTGCAACCAAGTTAACCGGGGAAAAGAACAATCCAGCAACACATGCAGGATTGTTTCGGGGCCATTCTTGCAGTGAGTGCACATCGCCGAAGAAGTCAGATGGCGACGCTCCCGTTCCGCGTTGGTGAGCAGGCGATCCCGGACCGCCAGCCACAGGAAGTGACGAACCCGAGCCGGACCCTGCCACCGCCAAATAGTTCGCCAGTCCATCGGGGAGACCCGCCTCCCATCTGCGCAGCGATCTTGTAGGCGGAGCGGACCCGAAAGCGGCCATCTTGTTCGGGTCCCCAAGTTGTCGAGTCCTCTCCCGCGAGCTCCTGGGGTGGTTGAACACCAAGAACCTGCAAGACCCCATCCTCAGTGAGAATTTGCTGAAGTGCGGGAATGTTCCACTCACCTGAGGGCTGAACGAGCGCTGCCACCGGGAGCTTAGGATCGGGTTCAGGCCCCTCCGGCCGAGCATGCTCAAGGAGCATATCGCCACTATCAATCCAGCGATCCATCCAAAAACTAGTGGACTGGCCATTCTTGATGCACATTCGTGATCCCTCGACCATAATCGGCCAAGCTTTGAGGATGCCCTTCCAAAGGGATGAAGCACGCGTCTGGGACTTAAGCCTCAGCTCCCCTTGAACCATTTTGAAGTATTTGGCCTGCAAAACACGCACCCATAAGTCATCCTTATTTTTAGTAAACAACCACGCAAGCTTGGCCAGGAAAGCAAGATTTAGCTCGTGCGCCTTGCGGATTCCCAGCCCGCCCTCATCCTTGGATTGACAAACACCATCCCAGTGGACCAAGTGAATCTTGCGGGCATCAGCAGTCGAACCCCAGATGAAGCCGGGGATCCGCCTGTCGATTTGATCACATATTGATATAGGCAGGTACGTCGTCTGCATGGCATAGGAGGGGAGCGTGTTGAGGACGGACGTCGCCAACGTTACCCGCCCCGCATGGGATAAACTCTCGGCCTTCCACCCCGATAACTTCTTGTCCATACGGTCCAGAATGTATTTGTACGTGTCCCTCGTCACCCGGCCATGTAAGACTGGGACGCCCAAGTACCTCTCCATGTCCTGGGTCATCGGCATCTCCAAAATGCGGGCTACAGGTCCGCTGCTAGTCCTCGCAGTGTTCTGCGAAAAGTAAACCACCGACTTCTCCTTGCTCACCAGTTGCCCCGAGGCCTGGCAGAAGCGATCCAAGCAGTCAATGATAACCTGCCCTTGAGTCTCCGAAGCCTCTGCAAACAAGATAAGATCGTCAGCAAAAAACAAATGGGAGAGGGCCGGGCCCCCCGGGGAGGTTTTAATCGGCTTCCATGCCCCCCGCTGCACTTCTTTCTCTATCAGGTGACTTAGGCGTTCCATGCAGAGTGTAAACAGATAGGGCGAGAGCGGGCAACCCTGACGAAGACCACGGGAGGGTTTGAAGGGTTCAGTACAGCTGCCATTCCAGAGAACATGCATAGTCGAAGTGGAGATACAAGCCATAATAACCTCGACCAACTTCGAAGGGAAGCCAGCGGCAATAAGAGTGTCCCGGACAAACGGCCAGCTGATCCGGTCATAGGCTTTGGCCAGATCGATCTTAACCACCATCTGACCCTTCTTCCCCCGCTTAAGATTCATCGAATGAACCACCTCCTGCAAGATAATAATGTTGTCAGTAATATGACGCCCCGGAACAAAGCTTGTCTGGGTCGGGTGGACGAGAGATCTCATCAGAGGCTTGATCCGATTCACCAGGCACTTCGTCAGGGACTTGTACACCACGTTGCACAGTCCTATCGGGCGGAAATGCTTGACCGACACCGGACTCTCCATTTTCGGGATCAGAACCAGTAGGGTCACATTGACCTCACTAATGAGGCTCGGCCTCCTGAAGCACTCCTGCACAAAGGTAGAAAAGGATGGCCCAACGGTATTCCAACACTTCTGGTAAAAGATCGGAGGGTATCCATCCTGTCCCGGAGCCTTGAAACCACCCATCCCCTTCACTGCAAACCAAACCTCCTCACCCTTGATATCGCCAGCAAGAAAGGTCGCCTCGGACTCAGAGATTTTGTCAAAAGTTGCCTCCAAAAGCGGAGCAGGCCCATCCTCGGCAAGGAAAAGCTTGCGGTAAAAGTCGCAGACATGGGACCAGAGCAGCTGGTCATCCAAGATCCAGTTCCCCGCGTCATCTCTCAGGCTAACGATCATGTTGAACTTCCGCCTCTTAAGCGTAGAGAGGTGGAAGTAATGGGTGTTTTTATCACCGTAGACAATCCATGAAGATCTGGATTTCTGAAACCAAAGGAGCTGCTCTTGCCAGAGGGTGGCTTCTAACTCAGACCGCACCGCCTGTTCTTCATCCCTTGAGTCAGGCGAGGAATCAGACTCATTCCGGACTTCAAGTTGACGTAGCTTGGTGATCAGCTTCTTCTTCCGCTTCAAAATGTGACCAAAAACATCTATATTCCAAAGCTTCACGTCCTCTGTGAGTTGCGAGGTCTGGCCGGGGAACTCCGAGGCCTTCTCCCACGCTTCCTCCAACATACGAGTGAAATCCTCATGGCCCAACCACGCTGCCAGAAAGCGGAAGGGCCGGACTTGCCGGGGAGTTTTAGTCGTGGCGCGAACCAGAATGGGACGGTGGTCGGAACCAATGCGCTCCAGGTGATGAACTGTAGTATTCGGGAATTTGAGCATCCACCTCTGATTGCCCAGAGCTCTGTCCAGCCGCTGAGACAAATTCCCTCTGCGCCAGGTGTAGCGGGGACCCGAAAAGCCCAGATCCACCAATTCACTTTCCTCCACACAGCGACGGAAGGGGCGAACTCGAGCTTCACAATAGCCAGCACCCCCCATTCTATCAGCCGGGCCGAGGATAGAGTTGAAATCCCCGGCCAGCATCCATGGAAGGCGCGTTGTGCGAGAGATTCGAATCAACTCCGTCCAAAGATCCTGGCGCAGGGAAGCATTGGGGTTGGCATAGATGGCCGAGATCAACACTTCCTGCATCGGCTCCCCTCTCCTTGACACTCTCATGTGAACCATTTGCTCCCAATCATAGACTGGGACCACCTGAAGATCACTTTCACGCCAAAGAACCCAGATGCCACCTGCGAAACCACGAGCATCCACCATTAGAACCCCATCAAAACCAAGACGGGAGATAACCCGGCGTGCATTCCTCCCGCTGATGCGGGGCTCAAGAATAAAAACCATATCCGGCCTAGAAGGGCCAATAAACGAAAACAAAAAAGGGACGAAGTTATCATGCCCCGCCCCCTGAAAATTCCACGAAAGAATATCTAACATAGCGCTAACAAAGACCACACCGAACAAGACAGCAAGGGATAGACTTCCCTTGAACCCGGTGGCACGAGGCCACGATCGGAGATCAACGCCCGGAGGCCGGGGCTAAGTTAGCCCCCGTTGCACGTTGCTCTTTAGCGCGTTGGGAACCCTTGCCAGCAGCACTAGATGATGGCTTCTTGTGGTCTTGTTTCGGTGGACCGTGTCCCTGCGTGGCTCCCCTGGCGTCCCCCTTCGTGGAGGAGGAGTGAGGCCCAGCTGAGCTTGACACGGGTGGAACTGCAGGGGTCTCACCGCCTCCGGGTCGCTCTTCCGGTCTCGTAGTGACACTAGCCTGAGGAATGCTTCCAACCTGGTGGACGGGCACCTCGACCAGGCGTGAAGGAGCCTCCGTGCTGTCCACCACCATCGGGAGAACTTGCTCAGAACGGGTAATGTTCATTAATTGGGTAACGTCCTTGGCCATGACAACCGCGCTGGCCTCCTTAGTATACTGAGCTGCCTCAGGCGGGTTTTCCATCACGATCTCTTCAATGCCCTCTTCACTATCGGACTCCACTACTGATGCCAACTCTCTAAACCTCGACCCCGCAGGAGCGGCTTCCACTTTGTCCCTGGCCGCCCCATTAGATCTGGTACTAGGGGCCTTACGGGGCAAAGTATCCTCTCTCTGTTTAGACTTCTTCTTCTTCGGCTTTGCCATCATCCATTCTCCGTAAACCTTGGGTGGCACGACCT